CCTACGGTGCCGCCGACGCAGTTATTTCCATTGTCTGTTACGGCGGTGTTTTATTTTTAACAGTAGGAATGTGGCATTCTTATATCGAGTCCATGGAGGGGATCTCGTCTCTCGGGGCGACCATGATCAGCAGCTCTTGTTCCATTCTGTGGTCTGGTGCGTTAGGCGTTTTGCTGCTGGGGGAGGAGTTAAAGCCTCGGTGGTTTGTAGGTGCATTGTGCATTTGTGCTGGGCTTTGCTTGGTAGCTCTGGCTAATAAGGAGACCACAGAGGAGGAAGAAGAGGAGAGGGCAAAGCAAGAGAAATAGACATCCCTTGCCTACTTCTATTTCTCTAGCAAGGGATGCATGCATCTATATATGCCTCAAAGATAGGCAGTTTATATTAAAATTGTGAGTTTTCACTATCTAGAGCATTCGTGAGAGTTATTCCCAACACAGTCTGATTTCTGTAAGCTGTATAGAGGGTAGCATAATATTAGCCAAATCCTTGGTTCTCCCAACTCTCTTGCAAGGCTACTTGTGCAAGCATGATGGTGTATCATTAGTGTAGAAGATTGAGGAATTAGTCTCCAATTCATCACAACGGAATTTCCTAAGGTCGTAGCGAGAGTTCTTTTGTCAGCAGGTTCCCAAGTTTTTTGGCGATTCACCTGCTGTAACCTGAACTTCGTTCTCTCAATCAGTTACGGTCCTGAAATCTCATAGGTGAGCTCGGCGCCATGGACGTCAAACGCGCAGCCCGCAATTCCGCCGCTGCCGCCGCGAACGCCGCTGCAGTAACCGCCACCGCTGCCCCTGCTTCCCTCGCATCTGCAGCCCCATCTTCGGCTGCCCCGTTCCTGCCGCCTACCATCCTCGCCGCGAATCCCGTCGTTACCCCGTCCACGTCAGCAACCGGAGCCGCGCCGCTCTCTTCCAATCCTGCGCGTCGACTGACGAACGGCTCAGATCGAAGCAAGAGTACAGATCGTAGCAAGGATCGGCATAAGAAAGCATCTGGCGGGAAGAATACGATGATTAGGTTAAACCCGGATACTGCAGACCGCTTTTTCCGCCTTCAGCAGTTATTAGGGAGGCGTAAGATTAAACGCGCTTCGGCTTCTAGTGTAGTTAATTGGTTGATTGACTCGTCGAACCACATACTCACGGCCCTGATTGATGGATCGCTGAATATAGCAGATGTTCCCGAGGAGGTTAGAAACGCGGATGTTTCCGCGGGAGCTGGCGGAACTGGCGGAGTTGGGGGGGGCAAAACTAGGGGGAACGTTGCGGGGGCAGGCGGGTTCGGGGGAAGCAAGTTTGCGGAGCTGGAAGCTGCGCTGAAGAAGTTTGCCGCAGGGGAGCCGCGGGTTCGCGTGGGGGGTGCACGGGTTGGCGCGAGGGAGGCGCAGGTTGGCGCAGCGGAAGCGCGGGTTGGCGCGGCGAACGCGGAGGGGGGCGGGGGAGAGCGGAGCATTTTGGGGGAAGCCATGGGGGAAGAGGGGATTGCGGAGCGGAAAAGGACAGGGGCGCAGGGCAGGGGGGGTGTTGCTGGGGGGAGACAGGGAGGTGGGGGGAGAGGGGGGCGGAGTGGGGCAGGGGAGGGGGCAGCCATAGCGGGAGTGGGAGGGGGAGGGAGAGGCGGAGCTATAGCAGATTCACCTGAGGCAAGATCGTCTGTAGCAGCAACAGCTGTAGCAGCAGAAACTGTAGCAGCAGCAACTGTAGTAGCATCGCCTGTAGCACCAGCACCTGAAGCAGCATCAGGGACTTTAGGAGAAGGGGATTCTGCAGCAGCAGCAGGCTGCATGTCAGGACCCCTCACAGGAAGACCTGCAGCTGTAGCGGCTACAACCGCGGCTAGAGTGGCAGGCACTGTAGCAAATAGCACTGTCGCAGGAGCAGGGCCTGAAGCAGGGGCTGTAGCAGTGGCTGTAGCAGCAGGAGCAGAACCAACAGCAGCTGGTTCTGCAGCTTCGGCTGTAGCAGCAGCAAGGGTTGCTGGGGGAATCAGCAAAGCAGGTGCTGTAGCTGGAGGGGCGAAGGCAGCAGTCGGACCGGCAGCGCCACCCACTGTAGCAGGAGCTGCAGCGCCACCGGCTGTAGCAGGAGCTGCAGCGCCACCGGCTGTAGCAGGAGCAGCAGCTGGAGGGGCGAAGGCAGGAAACAGCTTGAGTTTGCCGACAGCGCCGCCGGCTGTAGCAGGAGCTCAGTCAGCTGCTGTAGCAGAAATGGGAGCGGCTGTATTGGGTATGAGTACAGCAGTACCTGTAGCAGGAACAGGCACTGTTGTATCAAGAACAGAGGCTGTAGCAGGAACAGGGGCTGTAGCAGGAACAGGCACTGTTGTATCAAGAACAGAGGCTGTAGCAGGAACAGGGGCTGTAGCAGGAACAGACACTGTTGTAGCAAGAACAGCGGCTGTAGCAGGAACAAGGGCTGTAGCACGAACAGCGGCTGTAGCAGGAACAGGAACAGCTGTAGTACGAACAGCGGCTGTAGCAGGAACAGGAACGGCTGTAGCGCGAACAGCAGGTATAGCAGGGGCTGGAGCACGAAAAGAGGCTGTAGCAGGAACGGGAGTTGCAGCAGGAACGGGAGTTGCAGCAGGAACGGGAGCTGTAGCAGGAACAGGGGCTGTAGCAGGAAAAGGGGCTGTAGCAGGGAGTTTATCAGGAGCAGCCAGGTACAGGGTGCAAGGAGTCGCCCCTTCAGTGTCGTTTTTGCAGACCTTCCAACAGCAGCTACAGCCGCCACAGCTACAGTCGCCACAATTACACACCGTGCAGCAACGGTCGTCACAGGTGCAGCAGTTACCACAGCAGCTGCAGGCAACGCAACCACAGAAGCAACAGTCGCAACACAGGAAGGTACAACCCTCTCAAGTGCAGCCACAACACTCACAGCTGCAGCAGCAGCCGCAGTATCAACAGCAAAAGGCTGCTATTCCTGGTTCGGCTGCTCCTGGTTCGGTTGCTCCTGGTTCGGTTGCTCCTGGTTCGGCTGCTCCTGGTTCGGTTGCTCCTGGTTCGGTTGCTCCTGGTTCGGCTGCTCCTGGCTCGGCTGCTCCAGGTTCGGCTGTTCCTGGTTTGGCTGCTTCTGGTTCGGCCACTGTTATTCTCCCTGCTTCTGCTTCCTCCTATGTGTCTGAAACGCAACGCACACACCAGCAAGAGCAGCAGCAAAAGCAGCAGCAGCCACAACAAGAATTTACAGGAAAAATGCATTTGGTTCAGAATTGGCAAAAATCCACAGGGGCAGCAACAGCAGCAGACTCAACCGCAACAGCAGCAGCAACAGCAGCAGCAACAGCAGCAACAACAACAGCAACAACAACAGTAGCGGCAACAGCAGCAGCAAAAGCAACAGCAACAACAACAACAACAACAACAACAACAACAACAACAACAACAACAACAACAACAGAAGCAGCAACAGCAGCAGCAACAACAGCAATTGCCACAGCAACAGCACCAACAGCAACATCGGCGACAGTAGCAGCACCAGCGACAGCAGCAGCAACAACAGCAGAAGCAACAATGGTAGCAGCCCGAGTAAATGCTGCTGCCAATGCTGCTGGTGATGCTGTGACCGGTGCCACTGCCAATGCTTCTGCCAATACTGCTCCTGCTGTGCGTGCTGCATTTGTAGCAGCAGGGCCGACAGCAGCAGCAGCAGCAGAAGCAGCAGCAGCAGAAGAGGCAGCCACAGCAGCGGAGTGTGGTGTGGTATCAGGGAGTGAAATGCGTGATTTCGAAGCTGAAGTCCATGCTGAAGCTGTGGCTGAGGCTCTGGCCAAGGCTACAAGTGAGGCTCGGCTTGAGGGGGCAGAAGAGACAGCACAAGGGCAGTCAAACAAACGTCTACGAGACACGGTATCAGGAGTCTTGGTGACAGGAGGTTCGGTGCCAGCAGGTTTGGCGCTAGCAGGTTCGGTGACTGCTGGTTCGGTGTCAGATGGCTTGGAATCCGGACCTGCCATTGGCTCATTGGAGCAGCAACACCTGTCTGACACTGCAGCTGCTGCAGCTGCCACTTCTGCTACAGCTGCCACTGCTGCCACTGCCGCCAATGCTGCTACTGCTGCTACAGCTGCTGCTGCTACAACTGCCCCAATTGATGGGACTGCTACCACTTTGTTGGAGCCGCTTGGAACTAGAGATTCACCTGAAGCTGGGAAAACACCTGACAGGGACAGGTCAGGTGAATTGAAGGGGCTCGGTGTGGATGTGTTCTCAGGTGCTTGCGATGTTTTGACTTCAGGTGTTGCTTCAGGTGTTCCTTTAGGTATTGCTGAGGCCTCAGGTCCTGTCAGCGCTTCAGGTTCTGCAGAGCCTCCAAGCAAAGAGACTCAGGTGAATGCTCAGGTGAATTTTGAGAGCTCTGGCCTGGGAATGCCAGAGGAGTTTTCTCAGGTGAATAAGCAGTATGCTCAGGTGGGTGCTCAGGTGGGTTTTGAGCATGAGCTAGATGTGGAGGGGGACGCTCAGGAGGATCAGGAGGAGCACGGTTCTAGAGCTCATTATAATCATCAGCAGCAGAACCAACAGCAGCAGCAGCAGCAGCAGCGGCAGCAGAACGACCAGCAGCAGCAGCTGCAGCATCAAGAGCAACAGCAGAATCAGACTCAGAACCAGCAACATGCTTTTCAGGAGCAAATGGCATATGCAGCGCACATGCACCCATTCGCAACTCCTCCTTCCCACATGCCATACCAATACCTTCTTCCCACGGGCCATTTGGACTTCCCTTCGTCGCACCAACCCTCGTACCACCACCATCCTCCTCCTCCTCCTCCTCCTCCTGTCATATATCCTCCTCGTCACTACCCCCACCTTGATCCTTCCTCCACGCCTCCCCCTTTTTCACCTGCGTTTCAGCTCCCTTTCTCCGCAGCAGCAGCAACAGCACCAGCAGGAACAGAAACAGGAACTGCAGCAGAAGCATCAAGAGAAGCAGCAACAGCCACGTATCACCCTGCCTCCACCCCAGCATATCACCCCACATCACCATATCACCATGGGGACCCATCCACTCATTTCCTCCTGCCGCATCAAGCTGACCCTGCTTCACCCCTCCCTCACGATCCCACCTCCCTCCCCCGTTCCCGCCCTCACCACCCCACCTCTCTCCCTCCTTCCCTCTCCCACCATACTGCCAACCTCCCTCCCTCTCTCCCTCACCGATCCGACACCCTCGCTTCTTCCCTCCCTCCGTCCCTCACACGTCACGCCAGTCAAAACGACTGGGTGGACATATCCGGTGCTGGAGAAGGAGCAGGAGTGCAAAGCGGCGTGGAGGAATTGAATGCGGTGGAAGGAGTCGAACAGGCTGGAAAAACGGTTTCGAAGGGTCGAGTGGAAAGGGAGGATGGTGAAGAAGAGGAGAGTGAGATGGACGGTAGTGTTGGAAGGAGGAGGGTCCGGCAAAGGACAGAGAATGCCTATGATCAGCCCAAGGCATTTAACTATCCAGTATCTATGGCATACCATCATATCCAACATCCGTTTAACCATCATCATCAGCTCACAGACCCTTCACTTGAGGAGCATCAGTATCACCATCACCAGCAACGCTTGAATGACCATCACCCGCAGCGGCTGAATGAGCATCATCAGAGCCATGCTCCTCCTTACATGCATCCTTATTTGATGCATCATCAGCTGCACCCTTATAACTCTCACCCTCTCCCTCACTCTCACTCTCACCCGCACTCCCAATCTCACCCTCACTCTCTTTCTCACTCTCACACCCACCCTCACCCTCACTCACAAGCTATTCCTCCTCAGCCATACATTTACCCACATCCTCAAATGACCTATCAGTCAAGCCAGATACACAGCCACATGCACACTGCTATCCCAGACCACCATGTGCATAGTAACGCACTTCACCATATGGAGGATACGACTTGCCATAGCCACATGCATAGGCACGTGCAAGCTACAGTGGATTCGCACGTGCATGATGGTGTGCATGGAATGACTCGATATGAGCACCATGCGTTACAGGAACATCTGCTAGAGTCGAGTATATACGCGCATGAGGAGGGGATTGGAGGGATAGGGTTGGAGTTTGGTGGGAGGGAGGGTGGTGGAGAGGAGATTATAGTGGCTATTGATTCGGATGATGAAGAGGAGGTGGTGGTTGCGTAGGATGGTTAACAATACATGCTGATGCGATTACTGTGCGGTGCATAGTGGGAGGGAGGGTGGAGAGGAGATTATAGTGGCGATCAATTCTGATGATGACGAGGAGGTGGTGGTTGCATAGGTGACACGACCCACATGCGATTACATGGTGGTGGGAGGGAGGGCGGGCAGAGAGGAGATTATAGTGGCGATAGATTCTGATGATGAAGACGTACGGTAGGAGGGTACCAGTGCCTACGGTGCATGTCATTACTGGTACATGGTGGGAGGGAGGGCAGAGAGGAGATCATCGTGGCGATTGATTCTGATGATGAAGAGGAGGTGGTGGTCGCTGTCAAATGTTGTAGCCTGTAGTGAGGTTTGTCTTAGGGGGTACAGAAGTTAGGGTTTGTCATATGTACCCCAACCAACATCAATGCAACATCCATTCCTCATTCTGACATGGTATCAGCTAGGTTAGGATCCTGTGGGATCCCGTTCCTCCGTTCTCCGTTCGTACCTCCCGAGCCTGATCCTACCTCTCGTTCGTACCAGTTTAGTTGTTACCGCGCCTAGTACCGAGCCTAGCATCATCTCCCCCGTCGCGTCGCGCCCGTTCCCCCCGTCGCGTCGCGCCCGTTCCCCCCGTCGCGTCGCGCCTGTTCCCCCCGTCGCGTCGCGCCCGCCTGTTCCCCCCCTGTCCCGTCGCGTCGCCCTGTCCCGTACCGTCGCCCTGTCCCGTCGCGTCGCCCTGTCCCGTCCCGTCGCGTCGCCCTGTCCCGTCGCGTCGCCCTGTCCCGTCCCGTCGCGTCGCCCTGTCCCGTCCCGTCCCGTCCCGTCGCCCTGTCCCGTCGCGTCGCCCTACCCCGTCGCGTCGCCCTGCCCTGTCCCGTCGCCCTGCTCCGTCGCGCCGCCCTGCCCCGTCGCGTCGCCCTGTCCCGTCGCGTCGCCCTGCCCCGTCGCGTCGCTCCCGCCCTTTCCCCCGTCGCGTCGCCCTCCCTAGGCCCTAGCCCGTCGCCCTCCCTAGGCCCTGGCCCGTCGCCCTCCCTAGGCTCTGGCCCGTCGCCCTACCCTAGGCCCTGGCCCGTTGCCCTACCCTACGTTTTGGCCCGTCGCCCTAGCCCGCTCTTCCGCTGCGACTGAGTCCTCTTCCCCCCCGGTTGTTACTCGCCTGTTCGTTCGCGTTGGTTCTCACTATGGCGACTCCGCGAGTTCTTCGTTTCGACGCCGACGGTAGACCCCTTGACTTTTCCGTCTGGCTTCTTCGCGCTCGTCGTCTGTTAGAGAGTCAGGTCCAGGGGGGCGAGACCCTCTGGTCACACGCTACTGGTGACCTCCCCGAGCCCCCCGAGCCTACAGCTTTAGACCCTGCTCCTGACGACGCTGCTACGGCTCGCTTTGCCCGTCAGCGCGCTGACCGGACGGCTTGGACATCGCGTGACGCTGCGGCCTGCATCGCACTCAGCAGCCTCCTCCCTGAGTCCGAGGAGGTCCACTTTACTCAGGTTCGCACCGCTGCTGCGTACCTCACTGCGATTAAGGCCCGCTACTCTACTCCCGCTACTGTCTCTCTCGGCCGTCTTTTCCTCCCGTTCCTGTTTCCTGATCTTGCCTCGTTTGAGCGCTCTGCTGACTTGATCGCTCACCTCCGCTCGCTCGACGCTAGTTACCGCGCTGCTTGCACTGAGGCACAGCTTGCACTGCTTCCTCCCCCCATGGCGATTACTGTCTATTTCATCGCCACTAGCCTCCCTGACCGCCTTGCCTCCGTTCGTGACGCGCTTCTGCTGAAGCACCCTAGTGAGCTGACTATCGAGGTCCTTGAGTCTGCACTCAAGGACGTCGAGAGCAACCTTCGTTCGGTAGCTGCCGCCTCTGGTACTGTGTCCCCCCCACTCTTCCACGGGTGCACAGTCCCGCAGTTACCCACCTTCACTGCCTCTCTTGCCACTGCCGCTACTGACGCGACTGCGGCTGCTGTTACGACTGCGTCGCGGTCCCGCGGCAGGGGGGGCAAGAAAGGTGGTTCCGGTGGAGGTGGAGGCGGAGGTAGCGGAGGTAGTGGGGGTGCTGTTGCGACTGGCGGTGGTGGGAGTGCAGCGTCTGGAGAGACCCCTCGTGCAGCGGCTGGTGACTCCACTGCACCTGCTGGTGGCGGCGACCCTCGAGCTCGTCAGTCGCCTCCTGTACTGCCGGCCCCGCTAGGTGGAGCAGCGGCGTGGTACCAGGCTCAGCGTCAGCAGCACCTTCAGCAGCAGCAGCAGCCCCTTTCCTCCCAGCAGCCTCAGCAGCAGCAGCGTCAGCAGCTGGCTCCGGGGTCGGGGCTGCGTCAGCCCCAGCGCGGTGCTGCTTACCCTCCCTGCCCCTACCAGGTTCAGACAGGTCCTCGTCGGGGCCACCCTTGTGGCCGCTTTCACCCCCCTGGTCAGTGCTTTGCTCAGCTCACTGACACGGTCCGGTTGACCTACGGGGTTGGCGGTCCTGCTCCTGACTGGCTTCCTCTGGTTCAGCGCTACGGCTCCGCTCTGTGGGGCATGTCTGCTGAGCAGTTAGTTGATCTGATTAGTGCTCCTCATGCTATGTATGCTGTTGTTTACTCTAGTGTTTCTGACTCTGTTTACTCTGGTGTTGTTAGCTTAGGTGCTAGTCTTGCTCAGTTGCCTGTTGCTAGTGTAGGTACTTGTGTAGACTCTAGACCAGCGACTACCTCAGAGGACGCTTCGCTGTCGTTCACACTGGACTCTGGAGCCTCCCACTGCTTCTTTCGGGACAGCACGACACTTACACCACTTCCTGCGCCTGTTTCTGTAGCGTTGGCTGATCCCACTACGGGACCAGTCACTGCACGTCACACTACCACTTTACCGTGTCCTGCTGCTCCCTCCGGGTCTCTCACTGGGTTTCACGTCCCCTCGTTCTCCCGGAACTTGGTGGGCGTGCGACCCCTCGTGAGCCAGCACGTGGGTGTGTGGTTTGAGCCTTCTGGAGAGACTGCGGTGTGTGTTGACGGAGACTCTTACCAGCCTCTTGCTACCTTTACTGCTGAGCCGGGCTCGGGTCTCTACACTCTTCACACTGGCCCGCGTGCGCCGCAGCAGCAGCCGCAGCAGCAGCAGCAGCCGCAGCCGCAGCAGCAGCAGCAGCAGCAGCAGCAGCAGCAGCAGCAGCACCAGCGGCCGCACCAGCAGCCCCCCCTACTGCCACTGCCCCCGGTTCCCCCCCCCGTTCGGGTCCCCGCGTCTCACCAGGTTGCTACGTCCCCCCAGGTGTCTGTGTCGTGTCAGGTTCCTACGTTTGCTCCAGTCGCTGCGTCGTGCTCCTGCCGGTCGCTTGCCCACCCCACCGTTCTGTGGCACCACCGGATGGGGCACCCGTCCCTTCCACGTCTGCGCGCTATGTCTAGTCAGCGTCTTGTCCCAGGCCTCCCTCGTGTCTTGCCGTCGCTGCCGCCTTCGCCTGCGCCGCCGTGTCGTCCCTGCGTCGAGGGTAGGCTGCGCGCCACCCCTCACTCCTCCTCCCTTCGTCCGGCCACCGAGCCTTTTGAGACGCTTCACTTGGACGTCTGGGGCCCAGCCCCTCGTCTAGGCCCTGAGCGTGAGCGTTACTTTCTGGTGGTCGTTGACGACTTCTCCCGCTACACCACAGTGTTCCCTCTGGCGAAGAAGTCTGAGGTGACTTCTACGCTGATCAGGTGGTTGCTCACCACTGAGGACACTCGTGGTCGTCGTGTCAGCTGTCTCCACTCCGACCGTGGGGGTGAGTTTCGCTCCGGCATTCTCGCTGGATTCTGTCGCGAGCAGGGCATTCGTCAGTCCTGGACGCTTCCAGAGTCCCCACAGCAGAATGGGGTTGCTGAGCGCCGCATAGGCCTGGTCATGGAGATCGCCCGCACCTCCCTGACTCACGCCTGTGCCCCCCATTTTCTGTGGCCCTACGCGGTCAGGTACGCCGCGCACCAGCTGAACCTCTGGCCACGTGTCTCTCGACCAGAGGTTTCACCGACCAGTCTTTGGACAGGGTCCCCTGGTGTTGCGTCGCGGTTTCGTGTCTGGGGGTGCTTGGCTCTTGTCCGCGACACCTCCGCGGACAAGCTCTCGCCTCGTGCCGTCCCCTGTGTCTTCCTTGGTTTCCCTGAGGACTCCTCTGACTTCACCTTTTACCACCCTCCCTCTCACCGGTTCTTTGAGTCCCGTGACGTTCGTTTCGAGGAGTCCACTCCGTACTACGTCAGGTACCCCAGTCGAGGTCTCCCGGTTCCTCCCCCCCCCCTCTTCCTGACTGCCGTTCCCCCTCCTGCTCCCCCGGTACAGCCTCCCCCCCCTGGTCCAGCCCCGTCAGGTGTGTCCCAGGCTACCCCTCCTCCTTCGGTAGCCCCTCCGGTACAGCCTCCCTCCCCACAGTCCTCCTCGCAGCGTGCCGCTGGTGCTAGCTCTCGAGAGGTTGGTGCGGCGCCTGTTCCTGTATCGGTTTCTGGTTCTGGGGGTGCTGGAGTTGGAGCTGGAGTTGGAGCTGGAGTTGGCACTGGAGTTTCTGGTTCTGGGGGTGCTGGAGTTGGAGCTGGGGTTGGAGCTGGAGTTTCTGGTTCTGGAGTTGGAGCTGACCCGGTGGGTGCAGAGGACTCTTGTCGTCCGGGAGCTGGTGCTGGCCGCGCGGACACTGGGGGTGCTGCGTCTGGGGGTGAGGGTGCGCCTCCTTCGGGTTCAGGTGAGCCTGGTTCTGGAGCTGGTGTTAGTGCTGCCTCTGGGGGTGGTGCGCCTAGTTCTTCTGAGGTGGACTCTGGAGCTGCCGCTGCTTCGGACACTACTCCACCCCCCCACCCCTACCCGACTAGGCACCCGGCTCGTGTTCGCCGTGCCCGTGACGAGCAGCTGGCGTTGGAGAGAGAGGAGAGGGAGTTACAGCGGCTGGAGGAGCAGCAGCAGCAGCTGGAGCCGCAGGAGCAGCAGCAGCAGCAGCAGCAGCTGGACCCGCAGGAGCAGCAGTCCCAGCAGCAGCCGCGTCCGCAGCAGCAGCAGTCGCAGCCG